ATTCAAACCTCCAAGGAATCTAGACATGGTTTCTTCCTCTTCTTCTCGAATGTGTGCTTTTTCCATTAAAATCACCATCTCTTGATAATACTCATCAACACTTTTTGTTCCCTGCCTCAAAGCWTGCAGTTTAGTTTTCAAATCATTTTTATAATGTTTGGGAGCATACCTCTTTCTCATGGCTTCTTTGAGTTCTTCCCAAGTTTCTATTGGAAACTCCTCTTTCCTTCTTTTCTCGGATTTGAGATGTTGATACCATGCATTAGCATGATTAATGAATTCGGCAATGACAAGTCTCATCTTCTTATTCTCACTATATGTATAGCTATCAAACACGTGCTCTATCTTCCTTTCCCATTGTAAGTAAGCCTCGGGGTCCGCTGTTCCACGAAACGCTGGAATTTTGAGTTTAACTCTGCCATCTCTATTTTCATGAACTCTTTCCAATCTCCTCGGTTGCATAATGTTGGCAAAGTTATTCCTTCCTCTTCCTCCAACTTGTCTTTCTTGGACATCGAAGTCAAACATACCTTCATCTTCCTGTAAGACTCGTTCTTCTCTTCGTTGTTGCACCCTTCTTTCCTGCCTATCTTCCCTCATCATTTCCACCATACCTTGAATTGATTGAAGAATAGCCATAGTAGGATCTTGCGGTACTCCCTGTGACATTTTGTTAGAAAAATAAAATAACAAAATAAGGACCTTTCCACTCCTCTCACTAGGATTTCACTCAAGGACACTCGTGTTTATCACTCGAGGGTAGGCTTTTGGTACTAGGTCAAAGATGTAAGGGTTGGCTTAAATTTTGGTGCAATCTTGCTTAAAGCTTGATATAACTAATTCAATGATCAACTCTCACAAACTAAGACTAYAGMAACTCAATCTTAGGATAAAMAACTTGATAATTTAAACAAAACACAACATAATGAAAAGAACTTTTCATGTGCCTCGGATCTTCGAATGCTTTTTTTTTGTGCTACTGTTTTCTTTCTTTTGCTACTGATTTTTGTTTCTTTTGCTTCTGTTTTTTTTTTCTCTTTTTGCTTCTATTTTTTTTCTTTGCTAATAATCCGAGAGCAAAAATACAAGAATTTCAAGGAAAGTTGTAGTATGTCTTGTTACACTTTGTAAGAACTACTTTCGAAAAAAGAAAAAATGACAGAATATAAAATTAGACAAAGTAAAGATATTTCACCTCTAGAGCCGGCCAAAGGATGTCGACCAATGCTCTGATACCAAATGATAAGTGCGAAGGTTGCTCGTGTTTACAAAGCTAGAGGTCCTTCTAGGATCCTTGCAAACATTCACAAAAACGACTAACTTACCGAATGATTCCAACCAAGAGTAA